CCTCATGACGAGAACCTCGTGAAGGCAGAAAAGGACAAATTAATAAAATATTTAGACCTGGCCCACGAGACTACCGCCATGTGGCATGTTGATTCAACCATCATTGTTCCAATAGTTGTATCGGTACACGGCTTGATAGCGAAAAGTTTCGATCAACATCTTAAGAAACTTTCGTTATACAGTTGGGTTAAGGGCCTAATACAGAAAGCAGTTATCCTCGATACTGCACGGATTGTGAGGAGGTTTCTCACTCTGGAGTCCTAACCACTGGTGGCTTGTGTCGTAGACACCGCCATCAGCGGCAATCTATTTTTATATAGTGTTTTTTAAAAATTGTATTTTGAATATCTTTTTAAAAAAATATTATGTAATTAATAAGATTTTAAATAAATATAAATAAATAATAATATGAGTTCGTCGTGGCCTAAAAGATATGACCTCCGGTACATTTATATATATTATAATTATAATAAGTATAATTTGCGTAATTACTGGTGGTAGGACCTCTTGTGAGTCCGCGCGGGTAGTTACCACCACCCCGCCTATTTCTGCTGTGAAGCAGTAATGCGTTTCGGTTTGAAGGGTGGGGCAGCCGTTTTAACTATGCTGAGAACTTAGAACTTACATCTCAAGATGGGTGGCGCATTTACGTTGTAAATGTCTATGGGCTCCAGAAACCACATAACACCAGGTGGGCTGTGAACCCGTCCACCCATCTAAGCAATAAAAAAAAAGAAAATACGACCCTTAGTTGAAACTCTAGTGGTTTTAGTTACCTGTCGCCTGTGGATAATATAATCTAAACACCTTCACTGAAGTGCCTACAATTACTGTTGAAAGTATCAAAACGATTCTTTAACGATCGCGAACTCGTATCTCGCAAACAAAAAAACATTTCCTTTTTGTAATAAAAAGAAGATACGAGAGAGATTTATAAATTAGTTTTGTAATTTATTGAACGGAGTATAGAGATCAGAGTTCAATAGCGATGCGCTTCAAGACAGCTCAACAAACAAATCCTATTAAAATGTAGGCAAACTTCGGTTCGAACTCCGACGGTGAATAGTCTGTTCGATCGGAGCTGCTACGAGTATACAAACAACTGACTGCAAATGACGTGGATTGTTTGTTAGCTTGTTGATTGAGGATTATGTTTCATCTGCATTGTTCATATGAATTTTTGACCTTAGGGGAATTGCTTTTAAAGTTGTTATTCAAATATCGTTGTTTGATTAGAAAAAACATGAAAATTCCCATATTCATCATGATGAAATTTTTCTTTGTGTCTCGTTTGAACTAATTCAAATTCACTCTGAATTATCCTGCCACTACATTTTTAAGCAATAAAACTTGAATATGTAAAACTTATGGTAGCTATCATAGAACACAAGATATGTGACAGAGGTCTGAATTTCGTTAATGACAATTTCAGAATAAGTTTGCAAGTTCTGAATAACAACATTCGGGCGGTCGGTGTATCGAGCTATTTCACTCGCTAGGTACCCTTCTTAGGCGTAGGACACAGTCTTTGAGTCGGGGACAGTCACCCGGCCTGTCGGCTGTCAATCGGTGGAAGCGTGCTGCGCGTCATGTGGCGTACGCTAAGCGGTTGCTGAAGGAACTTGGTCAAACCTCGGCCACCGCCGGCGCAGCCTCGAGGCCCTGGTGCCCGTACTGGAGGCAGGGTCGGATCAGTGACACGGCGTGCTCTCCTTTCACCTTACGCAAGTCCTTTCGGGACATGGCTGTTTCGGGAGGTATCTGTGGAAGGTCTGCAGGAGAGAGCCACATCCGGGTTGCCACCAGTGCGGGCATCCGGACGATGACGCTCAGCACGCGCTCGAAGCGTGCCCGCGTTGGGAGCACTCGCGGCGAGCTCTCGTCGCGGTGCTGGGGAGAGACCTCTTCTTGCGGGCTATCATCGCCCGCATGTTAGAAGATCAGAGCTCGTGGGAGGCCACGGCTAGGTTTTACGACCTGATTACGGTGACCCGTGAGGCCGAGGAGCGCGATAGGGAGGGTACCCTTCTTAGATCTTTCCTTTGTCGTATAATTCATTCCCGAAATTTCATATTCTTGTATATCTTTAATTTTCAGAGTCATTCGGATCAAACGGACCGTAAAAGCGCTCACAGTAACTTTCTCGATAAGCAGTAATTTGATGTAATTAAAAAACCAAGAGCCGTGAAACATTAACGAACAGCTGAAACATTTTGTTTTAGCTCAGCCACAACAGCAATATTTTAAGAGCCAAAAAATAATTTAATCGCCCATGAGGTACAGATTACCTTGTAATGAAAAGAGGGAAAACGAAGGAAATTTAAAAGCTCTTATAGAACATTCCGCCTGTCGGAGAGATACGTTTTATAGCTACGAAATGTGTTTTTGAAATTTCTCGAGTTGTTCTGTTAATGAAGTAAACGACTAATGAATGAACGAAGACAATTTTTATAGGTGAAAATTAGTTTGTTAAATTTAGCACATTGTGTTCAATCGATTTATTAACGTGTTCTGAGTAGTTTAGAAGACACGTGGATTCTATTTCAATCGAATAATTAACTAAAATCTTTTATTTTTATTTTTATTGCCCTTGTAGTTGTAATCTTCAATTGTTTTCTTAGACGCTAGCTGGCAATGAGCTCCTTTATAAGTTAACGCAGCAATGCACAACAGCCGAGTGATGGACACAGCCAATCGGCTGAATTCCGCACATTCATGAGAATATGTACTCAACCAAGTACCGTGAGAATCTAATCACGAGCCTCATTATAGAGTAAGCGGTGTGTAATCTTCGTGCACATAAGTATTCACTGAACATAAAGTGCAATTAAAAAGTATTTTAAAAGAAAGGAAGGTTTCCGAGGGTTCGAGGGCGGGTCTCGAGTGGTTTTTAATGAAAAATGTTTTGTTTGCGATCCCGGTTCTGTTTGCGCGAGTCCAGCAGTTGTAAATATTTGTCGCTAACCTCGTTACTTGCTGCGACGAAACACTTCTCTCTTTGTTTTATATTTCGGTTATTTACAACAAAGAACAACGACAACGTAACAGTTGAAAAACTTTTTGAGAAATATTATTTTATAGAAACTTGCTCAAATTTTAAACTAAACGGATACCTGAAAGTTGTGTGAACTATAGTTTTATACTATTGGCTTAAACACAAGACATTCAATTCTTCATTATCCTTTAATGTCGAAACACGAAATATGATCGAAAGTGGCTGAGCGTAGAAATAAATTTCAGTCACTGTGTCAGTTGTTTGTTTGTAAACGGTTTCGTTGTTGTGAATGCTGTGTCCGTTCGTTGCTGTATGCTGCTGCAGTGAGCGCGGCCCGGTGCAGCGTCTTGACTATTGCTCGATCGGAAGCTACTTGGAAATATTTATTTTTAATATTATTTCCATCCATTCTTATTTTACTCAAGCTTTGATGAAAATACATCAATAGATGAGCTTTTATGACACTGATAATTTTACAGTTAGGTAATATTATTACCTCGAGTACCTACGGCACGTGAGGTAGTTTTCTTTTATTAGTTACAAATGTATGTGTGATGTACGACCGAAATATTAATGTATTTGTATTTTATAGTTAAAGTTTGATTTAAGTTAGAGTTTATAATATGACAACAAGTGTGACAAATTAAAAAGTGAAAAGTTTCAGAAAATAAAACACGGAACAAGTGTGAATCTGCGGGTTCTAGGTATATTTTTTACAAATGTTCAACCATTAATAACCTACCGTTAGTATACATAATTAAGAAAATAAGACTAAATAATACTTTATTTCTCTGAATGCCTCTTTCTCATTATTTTCTAGAGAGGTCGGGCGCGTGAAAATAAAAAAATAAGATTGCAATGCTCGTTTAGGGTTGTTATCGTATTAATAAAATTTATGCAAAATTATGTATAGGTAGTATCTAATTTTTACCATAATCTTATTTTATGAGTAATATTTTTCAAATTCATCCAAATTATTAATAACTTATAATTGCAAGTAATGATAGCCTTATTCCAAAGAAAATCTACTATCCTCAGGGATGTCTACAAAAAATATAAAATCTAGGACCATTGAGATGAGCACACACGACTTTGTATTTTTATTTTATTTATTGCTCAAATGAGTGCAGGAGCTCACGGCCCACCTGGTTTTATGTGATTACTGGAGCCCATACGCATCTACAATGTAAATGCCGCCACCCACCTTGAGATATGAGTTCTAAAGTCTCAGTGTTTTCAGTACAACGGCTGTCCGACCCTACAAACCGAAACACATTACTGCTTGATTTGAATGACTTGACTTGATTGATCAAGTAATGGTCAAACAGGTTCAGTGAGCAACCTACACGGTCTATTCATTTCTACATTGACAACGACTAAGCACAAAAAAAACAAAGTTTTATTATTTTCATCAGCCTTTATCTGCCCAAGTGCCCACTGCTGAACATAGACCTTCCCTAATATGATATCTAAGTACAATCCTAATCAATCAGAACGGGAGTAGAATCAAGTTGATTGCTTTATTTGGAAAATACATATATATATAGCCTATGTTTATTGAACTTTCATAAAAGATCTAAACGAAGAAAAGAGAAGAGAGGTTTTGCAGGCCGTCGTCGTTATACTCGTGTAGCGTCATTATGTACCTGGTGTGTAGCGCAGTACTGACAACTGACATACACGTTATTTCGGATCCTCCCGATCCACTAACGGTATTTTTAGGTACCTCAAACACCGGTCATCGTTCTCGTCGAACTAATCGCTTGCGACGAAGGGCTCGACGAGTAAATTAACCCACAGACACAGCCCACTGAGTTTCTTGCCGCATCTTTTCAGTGGGTCGCGCTTCTGATCCGGTGGTAGATTCTGCGAAGCACGGCTCTTGCTAGGGTTCATGTTAGACAACGTCGTCAGGTTTGAGCCCCGTGAGCTCACCTACTAGTTAAGGTTACGCTGAAATAGTTCCCAAGGTTATCAGTTTAGGTAGGAAAAACAAAGTACTCACATGTAAGTTGTCAAATCGGTTGGAGGCACACATGGCGCGGACCGGCGGAGGACAGGAGCTGACGCACTGCTTGAAGCAGGTCCGCTGCTCCTCGTCGTCGGGCACCAGCGCGGTGCTCGTGCCGGCCGCGCCTTCCGCCCGGCTCTCTACAACAACCATAACAACAAGATTACAACAACCGCTACGAGTGGCACATAATCTAAGCCGACGTTATGAAAGAATTTACATTTATTTAATGTTTACATTTGTTCCTAATTCCGAAAATTATTAAAATATCGTGTGAATAAGTTGGTAATAATTTATGAAATCAATTGAGTTATGGAAAAAGAGTCGTACAATGTCTGAAGGAGTAATTTTTTTCTGATTTTTCTTTTCTTTCACAATCTTCACTATCTTTAAGATTACATTTGGCTTCCTGTGATGCCTTTGTTGCTAGATTTGAATTTATAAAAATCTCCCATTATTAAATACATATTTTGTTATGTGAAAAATTATATGGACCAAATTGTGATGAAGTTTATTTATATTTGAGGTTAATATCAATTGAGTTAAAATACCAATAAAGGCTAAGTTAACTGGTGGTTATTTACTGAGACTTCACTGGATTTCTTGCAAGAGCCTGAGAAGTCACATCAAGCGGTTTTGTGTCACTTTTGCGCATTTGTGTCCTTTCACAGGTGCTAAACGAAAAATATTATATGCCAACATTATTACGTTTGTATACCTGAAGAAACACAAAATTAACAAAATAAAACAATTCACACAGCTTCGCTTCTTGTGTTCCCGCCAAAAATTCCAGTATATTCTATTAGTAGTAGTTTTATTTTTCCAAATGGGAAGGCAAAGGTATTACACCATACAGCCTAATCTTTTATATATATTTTTTTAATGAAATAATATCATATTATGAAATAAAATGAAGCTGATTAATTTAATATGAAACATGGTATGGCATGAAATGAAATGAGATGAATTGAAATGAGATGATATGATATGATATGGGATGAAACATAATCTCAGTAAAATGATGGTCGTTTACTGAGATTTTTTCAGTGGACTTTTTGGAGGATCCCGAGTAGTTACGTCTAACGGCTTTGTTTCATTTTCCAACATTTGTGCACTTTCACAGATACTAAACAGTTAATAAACCACCGCTAGTACACATTTAAACCTGAAGAAACACTAAATAGACAAAATAAAACAAATCGCACAACTTGACACCTCGCGTTCCCGCCAAAAAGTCCTTTAATCTATTAACGTCAATAATTATCAGGTTTTTGGGAATAGTATGAGGCTCAGGAATTCAACATTATACAGCCAAATATAACAGTTTTTAATATTCATAATGTAATTTCAAATCCAGTGAATAAAAATCATCTTGATGTAGCTTTAATTAACAAATTTAACTATGCTATTCGTCAATTGTAATTCTAGGGCGAAATAATCATATAATGTTAGAGTTTTCATAACAATTTAGACTTAGGGATTTTTGGTGGCCAGGAGGCCTTTTCAGTTTCACCAGGACAGGTGGGCGAGCAAAGGCTTAGTCAGGCGGAGTGGGATTTGCTAACAGAAACAATTTAGGCTACTAAAAAGTATTTACAATAGCTGGAAATCTTAGCAATTTATTCGTTTTTTTTTTTGAGATTTTTTTATATCTTTGTCACTAGAATATTTACGCGATTATACCAAAGTCACTATGCTAAAAACCCAATAAAAATTTATAACAAAGGCCTTTTGACTGCCCCTTGATTTGAAGGGCATGCGTTTTCTAGAGGCCATATTTAAGTATAGGTACCTATTTTGAAGAACAAAATATCAAATTTTGGTGCATAATAGAGGTAGAGAATAACAATAATCTTTGTTCTAAGTATTGATGAAAAACTTACATCAAAACATGATTAAAATTCATAAAAAAGAAACATAATTAAGAATAAGATTTTTTTTCGAACGTTCCAAGGAACGTTTGCAATTTTGTTCAACTAAAAAACGTGTTTATATTGTTTTTATTGTGTTGTAATCTAATAGTTGTATTGTTTCGCTTTATTTTAATTTTTTTTATTGCTTAATTGGGTGGATCAGCTCACGGCCCAACTGATGTTAAGTGGCTACCGGAGTTCCAAGGTCTAAGTATAGTACATATGCAAAAATACCTGTTTAAGAATATTTTTTTATTGCTTAGATGGGTGGACGAGCTTACAGCCCACCTGGTGTTAAGTGGTTACTGGAGCCCATAGACATCCACAACGTAAATGCGCCACTCACTCCGAGGCAAGTTCTAAGGTCTCAAGTATAGTTACAACGGTTGCCCCGCCCCTCAAACCGAAACGCATGACTGCTTCACGGCAGAAATTGGCAGGGCGGTGGTACCTACCCGTACGGACTCGCAAGACGACGTGCCAGTAACGCTATCTTGGAAATTTAAGATGTTAATATCGTCGATACTACACGTCATTTTATTCCTTCGCTTGCTTTTATTTGTGTCGATTCAATGAATGAGCCGTTCAATTATTTAAATCGGTGTAATTAATTACAGTCGCGGCGGAAAAGCTATTCTCTCTCTAAGCTCTCGCATTAGAGAGGAATTTAAAGCATCTAGATCGAGCTATCATCGACTAAGACTATACTGGTATAAGCCTTGATCTTCCGAATAACTAATTGCGGTGATGTGTGTTATTTTGACCTGAACGCAGGCCTTCTTAATAAACTTGATCGTCTTCTTAATAACTGTATCGATTTATTTTTAAGCTTCGTAAATATGATCATAATATATCTTCCTACGGTGCTGAGCTTAAGCTTCTACCGATTCGCAAGCGTCGTAATTTACTTGCGACGTACTGACGACTCTTAATTCCGTACTTACGTCCGAACCTCCTTTCTATCTAATTCCCTATTTTCAATATTTTTACTCAAGCAATGAGCGGGCCCTGCGTTCTATCCATACTCTATTAATTCGTTGTTCCTCACGTAGTTCTAGACACCAGTGGTCGCACAGTAGTCGAAATTTGACTATTATTAATTAAAATCATAAGTTTGAACATTATTAAGGGTCTATTGTCAAAGACAATCATAGGCCGCTATAATAACAAATTTCCAAAGGCTTTACTATAGATGAATAATATTGAAGACAAATATTAATCCTTTCTCAATTAGACCACAGGCTTTAACAATAAACAAAAGAGCATTTAAGTGTGTGTGTCAAGTACATTGTTTTTTTTATTTTGGTCCCGAGGAAAGTCGTGGTCGTAAGTCGTCGTGGCCTAAAGGATAAGACGTCCGGTGCATTCGTATCGAGCGATGCACCGATGTTCGAATCCCGCAGGCGGGTACCAATTTTTCTGATGAAATACGTACTTAACAAGTGTTCACGATTGACTTCCACGGTGAGGGAATAACATCGTGTAATAAAAATTAAACCCGCAAAATTATAATTTGCGTAATTTCTGGTGATAGGACCTCTTGTGAGTCCACGCGGGTAGGTACCACCATCCCGCCTATTTCTGCCGTGAAGCAGTAATGCGTTTCGGTTTGAAGGGTGGGGTAGCCGTTGTAACTATACTGAGACCTCAGAACTTATATCTCAAGGTGGGTGGCGCATTTACGTCGTAGATGTCTATGGGCTCCAGTAACCACTTAACACCAGGTGGGCTGTGAGCTCGTCCACTCATCTAAGCAATAAAAAAAAAAAATCGCCGCACTTCCGCCCACCATTGAGGAAAATACACGGTAGTGTGTGTAAAGTTTTTTTATTGATATAAAATATTTTGTCCACAATTTAAAAAAAATAACATTTTGTACTTCTCTATATAAACCATAATTGTGGAAAATTTCATACTTATCGGTCCGCAAAACATTTCGTAAAAAGGGGTACAAATTTTTTGCTTCACGTATTAATATATAGATGTTCATAACTCTTTCATCGTGTAGTCTGCTCTGCTACGGAATGCGCCCCCTCTCGAGATCAAGACTATTACTGACGGATGCGCGTTCAAGTTAAGGGTTCGGCGAATGCTGTTGGAAAAGTTAGCGGTTTCGTCATGACTTTATTAAGTTGAAATTAAGTTATTTGCTGAGTGAATTTATTAATATATTCCTTTGAATAATGTGCAAACTATTGTTATTTATGTATTTTTAAGTGTATACACTTATGTATTGTATCCATGTATTTTTGCGTATATATTTGTAATTTAACATAAATTTCATTGCACCTTCCATTATTTACTCTGCACTACCTTTGGTTAACTAATAGAGAATGCATTAGGCATTAAGTCCGCCAATATGAATTTTACATGAAGTGTAATAAATAAATAAATAAATAAGTATATCATTATTCTCTGTTATTTATATGAAAATTATCTTAATAGTCTTGTGAAAAGATTGTGAACATTTTATTGCAACTTTAGATACTAATAATACATTTTTTTTTGCCTTCCTACCTGGCATTTTTATCTAGAGGCTATTTTGACTTCTCTATGGTTAGTGGTAAAGCTCACGGGTCGCCTGAATAAATTATTATATATTCTAGCAAGAGCAGTGCTTGGCTGAATCTACCATCGATCGGAAACGCGACTTACTGAGAAGCTCCGCCGAGAAACTCAATGCGCTGTATCTATTGGTTAAGTCGCAAGTCGAACTCTTCGTGGCTTTCGAAAAATTGGACGAGGACGGTGATCGGTGCTTGAAATACCTAAAAGTATAGAGAGTGGATCGAGAGGATCCGAGAGAACATATCTGGGACAAGAGCGGCTATTTGTCGTCGCATCATCTCGGGTCGGGGAGTAGTGGTGGTAGTTCATTTCTTCTCATGGCGATCAACATCTCTAGGCGACCAACTGGTCATGAGTCAAATGATACAATTTCGTGTACTTTCAGAACGAAATTATGGCCTATTGGCGCGCTATGCTGCCATCTTTTTTAAAAACAGCTAGTTGCCCGCGGCTCGCCAGGCCTCAGAGACATCATAACAGAAGGTCGAGGTTACAATTCGAGTCAAAAAAGCATTTGTACATTTTTATTCTATGGGCTGATTTCATTCTGAATTAACACATACCTCCAGAGTGTGACAGTATTATCACGCTCGTGGCCACTCATTAAGGAATCAATGCCAGCCGAGAAAGTAATGTCAAGAACATTAAATAATCGACAT